CCAATTTTTCACGCCATGCCTTGAACACCACTGCAAACCATACTGTGGGTGTAAAATACACGCAAGGCAAATATAATCAGCTCAGATGAGACCGGTGACTTGTACACCATCAAGTTTACTTCATTGTGAACGCAGTGGGGGTTTCTTTCAAGTGTGACAGCCTAATACACAAGGCAAAGAAGGAAAACAGAAAGACACACAACTCTCAAAACTGTTGGTCTAAACTAAGTATCATGCAATTGCTGAACTCTTGCCTGTTTGTCTTCTCAGAGAGACTCACATCCTCTTGATCTAACTTCAGTGACTCTAGTAGTTCACAGAGATTTGAAGGGCTTAAAAGGTCTCAACTACCTTTAAAAATGCTCATTTCATATTGGGCTATAATAGTACTCAATCGAATATTAAAATTAGCCACACAGTCGCTGCCATACTAAATTAAATATTTTCAAAATTGAATTGAGTGCTCTTCATACCTAAGCTTATCTATTGTTGATGTTTCTTTCAAGGGAATCCAGACGTTTGTTTTAACATAGGTCCTACTTTTTCTTTCTACCCCTTGTCCAAAATGACTGTGACTGACTACTCCGACACAACCCTTGAGACCAAGCTGAACGTTTTTATAAAACTACTAATGAACATACCTTGTCTATTACTTGTTTTAAACTTTTTTAAGAATGTGTATGGCCTCCCTTGAGTAAAGCTTTGTTCCTAGCCGGTATCCTAAACAGAAAACAAAATATCCTTTAAAACTTCAGTGCTAAAAGGATAAATAGCATCACCCCCAAAACGAGGGGGGGGGTAGTCACCAAAGAACTATGAACAGGTGGATCTGTAAGAAAATATAACTTCAGGATATAAGGCTATTAAGTTCTCCATAGGCCCTAACATCCTAATTGCTAAACAGCTCCCGTCATTCCAGTTTTAAAAACCAGGAACAATATAACATGATTGGTGAAATAAATGGGTCTGGGAGCTCCTGCTGATACTTTAAAAATAAATAAATTAATTAACAAAATGCTGCTGCCAGCGGTCCTGAAGGCTATTTACTGAGTGCTGAGGCCTGGCTTTGCAGCAGGCGGCAGCAAAGCCTGAGGCCGAGACTCCGAAGGCCATTGGCCTGCACGTCGAGGCCCAGGCCGAGGGGCTCACACCAGGCCTCACTTAGGCCCGAGGCCTGGGCTCGGTGCGAGCCAGCCGGGGGCAGGCCGAGCCTGGGTCCCGCCGCTCTCGCAGGCCAGGCGCGGGAAGGCGTCGGGCCTGAGGCGGGCGGGTTAGGCCTCGGGGCGGCGGCGCCTGCAGGGCCCAGCAGCAGCAGCAGCCGCAGCAGCCGCAGCAGCAGCCGCAGCCGCAGCAGCCGCAGCAGCAGCCGCAGCCGCAGCAGCCTGCCCTCGACGGCCTGTGCAGGGGGGCCAAGAGGCTGGAGCCCCGCAGGACGGCGCGGGTGGCCAGGGGCGGGAAGCGGGCGAAGGGAGCCCAGGGTGGCGCGCTCTGCTCGTCCCCGGGGTGGAAACACGCCCTGGAGGGGGCTGCGAGGGCAGGGAGGGGTCGCCAGGCCTCTGGGTCCTCCCGGCGAGCGGCCTGGGGCGGGCGGGCGGGCGGCAGGACCTCCCAGGGCCAAACTCGCCTCCGCTCCGCCCAGCCGCGGCGGCCTCGACACCCCAGCCTTCTCCTCCCGGGGAGCCCGGCTCGGGCTGCCAGGGGACCAGAAAGCACACAGCCGCCGAGAGGAGCGCGTGGCTGCAGATTTTTACCTCACGCTGACTCAGTCCACACAGCAGATGGCGGAGCTGCGAGGGAAACGACCTCCCCAGTGTTTTTTGAAGCTTGCTAAGAGCAGCGAAAGCGCGGCTTTCGGCACGAGGCGCTCCGTTCCTGGGAAAAAGCTCCCCTCGGGTTCTAAAGGCTTCGCGGGCGGACGCACTTGACACCACTTCCCGGGGCCTCCTGCCCGGGACCCGGGCCTGGGAGGCGGCGGGCGGGCGGGCGGCGCGCTCCCGCGAGCGGGCCTCGGGTCCGAGTGTGCTCGCACAGCCCGCGGCCACGCGCCCCGGAGCCCTGGCCCCCCGAGCCCGGGAGCGGGCGGGCGGGCGGGCGGGCGCTGCGTCCCCGCGGCCCGGGGCTGCACGTGCTGCGGCTGGGCCGGGGCAGGCGGGCCGGGCTCAGAGCGCAGCCCCGGGTGGGTGCATGGCCACGGGAACACACTGCTCCACTCCTCTCCCAACACACACACCGGGGTTGGTACTTGGGGTCGTCGCCTTTACTTCGTAGGTGAGGAGAGGGGAAAGGAAAAACAAAGGAGAATCAGTCATCGTTTTTTTTCTTGTTTGTTTGTTTTTTTTCTCTCCCTCTCTCCCTCTCTGTGGCACGCAAGACTCCACGGAACGCCGTCTAGCGGCGGGATTATCCAGGGAAGGCAGATCAGTGCAATCTCCCCCTCGACTTTTCTTTTTAATTGGACTTTTGAAGCCTCTTTACATCTGTCACACCACAAAGGGGACACGGGACAAACTCTAGGTGCTGATAAATTTACTTCTGTCACCCCAGGCCAACTCAGACCAAAGGAGAAGGCTGAACCAGCTCCTGCCCCTTTCCGGAGTCACCCTGTCCTTGGAGACAAAAGTGCAGAAGTCGCCTCTAAGAGGTAAAGACAGACTGGCAAACTTGCACATGAAATTCCTCATCGCCATTTGTTCTCAAGGGTGGGGACCTGGCCTGGGGATAACTGCGGCGAGGATTCCACTATAGAAGAGAGAGTAGACGCCCCCAGACATGACCCCTCACACCCTAGGCCCTCTCCAAGGCAAGTTTTTAACTCAGTCCTTAAAATCCACCCTTCCACGAGTTGGTTCTGCGGGTCTTTTGCCACCCCACCGGGAAGAATACCTGAAGCCTCTCTCTCTAGAACTGTAGGCCCTTCGGGTGTTTGCGTTTATAAAGATTCGCCAATCACCTCCAACGTCTCTTTGTAAAACCCAATTTCTCAGCACCAACAGTTTGACTTGACTTGCTTTAAATTGCACCCAGCTCTCACCTAATGCCTCACAGGCCGCTGTGTGAAATTTAAAGGGATTCTTAACTCATCTAAAGACCCTCCTTTTCCTGTCACTTCAACTTCGGAGAGAATCAGAGCTAGAAGAAAGAAGGTGCGTTTATTTTCCTAGAAAAAAAAATACAGCAGTAAAGAAAACTACACTCAGAGAATTAAATAATTGTAAATAAGAAAAAACAATCCTTAGTGGTGCTACCAAACAAGATTATGGGGATGTAGGAGGTGGCTACTATTAAACTCCCAGAGCAGAGGGAAGGGGGCTAGTCTTGCTTAACCCTTCAAAGCCATAACCTAGAATAAGTATTTGCAAACTGTAAACTGCTCTCAAACACCATAGTTAGCGTTTTACCAGGTTTATTTTACTTGTTATACACAGACGATACAAACGAGCAGAAAACAAAACGATTCTCAGTGGAGTGTGTACTTGTATAAATTATTCAATTCACAGACAAAACAAAACAAATATAAAAATCACAACATTTGATTTACAGAAGAGCCAAAGTATACACACGTTTAGACCCTGAATTCCTATTAGGAAAAATCCCCCATGGACTGGAATCTAGATTGAATATTGTGTATGATGCATATTTCACATGGATTTTAAAGTACAAAAAAGTATAAGTTTGCTACACAACATTAGAAATCCTACTAATCTATTTCCAGGGGGATTAATGCTCCTTATCAAATATAACAAGACTTGGGGGGATCAGACTTACTTGCAATAATGCTAGTGTTTCCCCAAGAAAGTCCAATTTCAGCTGTCTCTAAGTGGTGGGGGGAATCGTTTTCAAAACTAAAATGCAGTAAAATATACAACTCACACGGTTCATCTTCACTAGACTACACTATAGTTACCAACAAGTCAGTCGTCTATATCATTAGATTATTCATTACAAAGATTTACAGCATAGAAAGGTGGAGTGGGGACTGAAAAGATATTCAGAAACAGTTTGTCAGCATATTTGGCACCTGCACAGACCAGTAATGGATTTGGCACTTTGGGGAAAAACAAATAAGGCAAAATAATATTGCTGATGTGGAGCTATTCCGTTTAGAAGGGGGGGGGGGGGGGAACAGACAACTCCAGTTAACCCTGCTTCGCAGGCAGGTATCATGCCACTTGACTTGCCTAGGAGCGGACAACTGGCTTTTACAGGTGTCAGGTGGGTTCTCCTTAGCTGTGCTGTGGGGCACGCAGTGGTTATAGCATGCGATGAACTGAGAAGTGAGAGAGCCATCATTATGGAGTGCCTCGTGTTTCCAGAGCCTCTTAGACTATCTTTAATATCTCACAAGAAAACAAAGAGGGGGGTGGGGAGAGAAAGAAAGAATGGAAGGAGGAAAAAAAGAGGAATAAAAAGTTAAGCATGAACTGGTTTTGTGCCTTGACAATGAGAATAAAAACTAGCCATTCGTTACAATAAATTAACACTATGTACAGTCATTTCACAGGCTTTGTTCTACTAAAATTATGAACATCCCTACCATCCATCCATCCATCCATCCATCCATCCATCCATCCACTCGGGTATAAGAAAGGACGCGCTGGGTGGGTGCAGGTTCTAGAGTCAACATCCTAGGGTTAATAGGGAGGCCAAGACAAGGCGGGTCGGGATCGCTGCGGCCTGACAGGACTGCCCAGGTCTCCTAAAGTTGAAGAGTTTCATTCCAAGAGAAAGGAGAAGGTGAGGGGGGACAGAAAAAAGAAAAAAAGAAAAAAAAGACGGGGAGGATCATAACTTCCCAGAAGAAACATTGGAAAACCACAAGGTTCACAGCCAGGTTCAAGGTCGGTGCGCTAACTGCAGAGCTGGCTGTGGCAGAAAAGAAAAGAGCAGAGTTAAAAAAAAATCCTAACGGGAGACCTGCACTTTTCCCCTCGCGGACGGTCATCGAGGGTCAGGTGAAAGCGAGTGCGCAAGAGCGGGCCTGGGGAGGAGGACGTGGGGGGCAGAGCAGAGGGGCCTTGGGGGGCGTGGGGGGGCGCGGGGGGCGCGGGGCGCGGGCCGGGCGGCCTAGCTGTGCGAGTAGAAGCCGTAGTAGCCGCCTATGTCCTTGGCGCAGTTCTTCTCGCAGTCCCGCTGGGCCAGCACCTCGCTCTTGAGCGGGGACGAGCTCTCGGACACCGGCGTGTCGGCGGGCGAGATCCGCCTCCGCTTGGCCTGCTCGTAAATGCCCGAGTCGCTCGAGTCGATGGACTTGATGGAGGAGGGCGTCTCGATCCAGCTGGAGTCGGACAGGTCCTTGGGCTTGGCGTCCTCGGCGGCGGCGGCGGCGGCGGCGGGCGCCAGGGGCGAGCGCTCGGCCGCCAGGCCCTCGGCCTCCTCGCCCAGGTAGGGGTTGGCGCCGGCCATGCGCGCGGCGGCCGCGGCGCTGTTGGGCCAGCAGGGCAGCACGGAGCCCGACTTGGCGCCGCAGTACTGCGGGGGGCTGCGCGCGCCCCAGCCCGAGGGGTCGGCGTAGTAGCCGAGCGGGCGGCCCGTGCAGCCCGCGGCCTGCAGCGGCAGCGCCTTGACGCCGGCCGCCGCGTACGACAGCAGCGTGGCCGCGTTGCCCGCGAAGTCCGTGGCCGTGTCGTAGGCCGAGGCCGCGAAGTCCAGCCGGTTGTTGGCCGGCGTCACGAACCAGCGCTGCGGCGACGGCGCGCCCGGGTCCTCGGCCTGCTGCGGGGACAGCAGCCCGTTGGTGTGCGGCACGCTGCGGTCCGTCCCCGGGCCCGGGCCCGCGCCGGCGCCCGGGTGGAAGCGGGCCTTGGCGTAGTTGCTCACGAACTGGTCCTGCAGGAAAGAGCCGGCCATGGCGTAGCGGGCGCCGGGCACGATCTGCGAGCGCGGAGAGTCGTTGGGCGAGGGGGTCAGGCGGTCCATGTCGCAGCCCGTGTAGATCCTGAGGGGAAGGGAGAAAGAGAGGAGAACCGAGGGGTGGCGCGGAGGTCCCTAAGGTAGGGTCCTGGAGGGAAAGCCACCTCTAGTCTTGCCCACCCCGCACACCGCACACCGTCCGTCTGGAAGTTGCGCTTGACACACAGGGTGCAGACAGCGGAAGATCACAGACCCGCACCCTCCCTACCCCACGATGGAACGGTCACAGTTGCCCTGCTGGAACGTGAGCCGGACACGAAGCAGAGTGAGGGTCTTCCATCTTCCCGCTAAGTGCACGGGGACCAAGATGGGGCCTCAACCCACTGATCCAGCATTGTGCTCACAGTATGACAGAGTTAGTTAGCCAGGCACCGAGGTGCTATTTGCCCGTTGGGCCTTTCCTCTCTGATGAATTTCTGAGTGAAATTTCTAAACAAGTGGCCCACTCTCTCCACCCTTTTAAGACCTCCTGTGTCCATTGAGTTGTTCAGACGATTCCTTTCCTTTTTCTAGGCAGTTTAAGAAATCTCCAGAGGGGAAAACCGCGTAGGGAGAGTGGGGACGGACATGTCCAGGTAATAACGTCTAAGGCTGACTTTCACCGGCCTCAGAGCCCCAGAGGATTGCCGCTGGAATCCTCTAAGGTACTTTTGTCTGCTGCCTCCCCCTATGTACGCCCTTTTTAACTCGAAATTTTACCAATGCAAGGGGGAAAAAATAGAAATTACTATTTGGAAGCAACACTCATTCATCAATAAAATTCTTTAGAAGAAGAAAAAAAATGGTGTACTTTAGTCTTCTCTACCCAGCTTTTGGTCCATTACTAAAAAGCAAAAGAGGAGGAGAAAGACCCTTTGGGGGAAACTTACAGTTAACACCTTCCTCCAAGCAACTAACCCTGCCTTACAGAGCTTAGATGTGCTTGGCCGGGCACATGGGAATTATTTACATAAGCACAGGTGGATTTCTTTAGCCCACAACAATTCTCTTGGGAACTATTACTCCACCTTCCCGATGAGGAAACCGAGGCAAAGGAAAGTTAGAGAACTTGCCCAATAATCAAGAGAGATTGTGTGTGCGGGAATTGTGTTAGCTAAAATAAAGATTAACTTTAGGCCCTAGGCCTAGGTGATCTCATTAGAACTGAAGTTGGAAGATGATGTGTTTCTTCATACACATACAAACATACCTCACTGTGTATTTAGCTCACACATAAATGTTTGCATCTTTAGTCGACACACTGTTTTTGAAGGGGTGCCTCAGTATTGTCAGATCTTAATCCTATGGGGAGAAAACTCCTCCGGGTGTGGCCAAGCAACCTTCTAGGATCCCTTGAACTCTCATACCCCACCCCATTGCTCTCTAATCAAACCAGGCCCAGATTACTAACCTTAAAGAGGAGAGTGTTAAATCTACTCAACTCCCTCTCATCCCCCAGAAACCCAGGGATTACTTTTATAACAGATAAGATTTCTACAACACACTTGCAGTTTCAGAAAGGGAGGCCTTGTCCGACAGAAGGCAGCCAGAGGACAGGCAGATGAGTTACTATGGCTGCTCTGGTGCATTCTGTTTACTAAATAAATAAATAAATAAATAATCCCCTCCTGAAATTTAATTCCAGCTTCATTTTTTTTTAAAGTGGAGGGAGGTAGGAAGGGGACATAATTAGCAAGGTACAAATGTCTTCTGTTTGCCCCCACAATATTCTTTAAAAGAAAAAAAAAGCAATCTGAAAAACATACAGTTTAGATGCCCATCCAGGTCTCAAACACTTGGGATTACTGAATTGATTTGTGCAAAATAAATGCTTATGAACAGATGTTAACAGAATTAAAAGCTCAAAAATCTATACAACTCTCTTCCAACATCCCTAGTCTCTTGGGCCACATTCTTTCCACTGTATTGGGCCCAACTTTTTTCATTTCTCGAGACCTGAAGCAGCCAAGTTTTATTCTAGACAATCATATTCACAATTTTGGGGGACTGCTTTGAATTGCTTTTGGGGGACACATAAGAAAGTTAGAGCCAGTAGGTATCAATGACTTTCCCACTTGTTATAAAAACATTGAAAGGAGAGATGGTGTCTGGAGGTTGGGGCAAAGGAGCTCCTGTCTCTTCCTCCATACATTTGATCTGTTCCCCATCAAAGACAACACTCTAGCTCTGTCCCAAAGCCAGGAGATTAAAGTGCATATTTCCCTTTATCTTTTAGAGTCAGGGGAAAAAGTAGGCGAATCACCCAATCCCACTTTACATTTTGCTATATAACATTGTCTGAAAACTCTTAGGTGCTATAGTCCCTGAGTGAGAATTCCAGAACAAATCTAGAAAGAATTCAGTCTGTGCCTACTGCTGCCCCAGATGACAGCCTTGCTCTGAGAAAGGCCTAGAGATAGGTAAGGGGAGCCTGAAGAAAGGGAACCAGCACATTCAATTAAACCATAGATGCCCAAAGTAAGAGGAGACATTTTTCTTCTGCAGCTTATAAATAAGATGCAACCACATCTCAGTGCTACCAGAGCCTGTAATGACTGCAAGTTAAGTTCCGCTCATAAACTCGCCTGGCGAATGCACATTTTCATTCAGTCCATAGTAAACTTCACAAGAAATGCTCTCACACAAAACTTGGAAATGAGTAAATAAAAGTCACACATGCCAAGGAGACTGTAACAACTGCCAGAGCCACACACTTTCAGTCAGAATTGCTCCGGTTCAGACACAGCCTATCTGAGGTGAGCATCTGCAGCCACACACACAGCATGCACTGAGGAGAACCAGGGCAGCTTCCACCACCGCTGCCCCTGCCAGCCAGCCAACCCCAGGGGCGGCCAGTAACTTTGGAATTTGAAAGAAAGCTAAAAATAAGTAAAGAAAACTTTTGACCAAAATCACACAAATAGCAAACCACAAGGTCACCAGAGAAGGAACCAACATGATAGAGGAAGGGGAAATCTCCAACAATTTTCTCACACATTTGACTTTGAAAATCCTTAAACACAGCAATCAACCCTTAAGCTAGTGGCCAGTTCAACAGCTATCTGAGAAGGAACATGGAAAATTACTTACGTGTCATAGTTATCTCGAAATCCTTTTGCAAAGGGGTTGTGGTCTATTTTTAGTTGTGTAATCTGGGAAAAGAGAAGAAACAGTGATTGTGGTCTCCCCTTCTGCATGGGAAGGTTGTGTGTTTGAGACTATGTCACCTGTCCTTGACAGGGGCTTGGGTCTACTGAGTCATCAATGACCCAAGGTTCTTTAGTAAAACTTTGAGAGACTAGCAGGAGAGGAAAAGCAAGAAGTATTGGGAAAGTTCCGAGAACCGGCTTAAAATGGGTAATACGGACTAGCACTTCGGTTAGCTCTCCTGTGTGCTAGAAGTTGATTCAAATAGTCATTGAAAAAAAACTGATTACATGCAATGCACTACTACAAAAGTGCTTAATATCTTTAACTCTTCAGTGTTTTCAAGAGTTTAACCACAGGTACATATTTTTTAAATGAGCCAATTCTGACTCTCAATTAAAAAAGAAAGAAAGAAAAAAAACCCTGTAAACTGCATCTTAAAATTGGGTTGATTTGAAATAATTATTTCACTTCTGATAGTTTTACTTACATGACCAAACACACAACTTCTATACTCCTAGAGTCGCATCAGCTACTAAAATCAGTTTTTGCAAACATGCGAATACTTGGAAAGTTCTAGTTTGTGCTCGCAGACTCCATTAGTCCCTGTAATGTGATTTAATTGGCGTTTTCTCATTGCATATCTGCGAATATGTACGTACTCTCCTTCCTGTTTGGAACTCTCAGAACAGTAATAATCTTCTTATTTTAGCCACCAGTTCTGAGAGTTTAGAAACATTTTATTTTAGATTTCATAGCTTGCTAATAAAACGCACGAGGTAGATCTGCCTATTTCCTGAAAGGGAGATTTTTGAAAGGAAGAAAGCGCATGTTTTATCGTTCTAGCTTAAGGACCAAACTAAAGCTCCAAAGGATCGGTCATAGAAATCGTGGCCACCGCTGGGGGGTGGAGGTGGGAGGGTAGCCGGGCTGGAAGCTCACAGGCAGAGCTTCCCCACCCGCTAGCTGTTTGGGGGAAGGGCCTGGCCGGCCTCTAGCACTATTCTAAATGGTGCTGTAGGGCCAGCTGTAGCCAAGGCTAGTCTGCAGAGTGATGAAAGACTGGAGGGTAAGGGATGCCACTTGCCCGAGCCCAGCCCCGAGCCTCCTTACATCGGTGTTCTGGTAGGCGGTGACAGCGATGAACTGAGTCTCCGGGAAAGTGAATGTCTGGACACGGCCAGGCTGGCTGGTGTCCTCGGTACCGTCCTCGTTCACTTCTACCACGTGCAGACGGGGCTGGTACTTGTGAAGGGACTGTAAAACCACCATCTGTCCGGGGGAGAGAAAGGAGAGCTCTTTTGAACGCCTGCCTGTTCGCACCAGCCCCAGGGCTCGCTCTGCGCCGCCGGGCTGGGCCAGCTGGAGCCCGCTGCCCCAGACTGGCTATGGGACTCGCCTCCTGGTGACTGGGTGGCCAGCACACACCGCCCGAACCTCTGGGAGCCAAGATCCTCTGGGCACTGGGGAAGCCAGAATGCCAACCACCAGTCCCTTCCCCTAGTCCTCCTTAGAAGAGGAACAAAGATTTTTTCACAACCTACAAATCTCAAATCTTGTTCGTTTATTTTTTCAAAATGAATCAGTATTTGTGTTTGGAAAGGCGAATTCCAGAACGAGGTCGGGCAGAAGGCAAAGAAAGCAACTTAATGGATCAAATATAATTTTGGGAGGTAGAAATTATTTTCGAAGTCTTCACTGATGGAAACAAATCTTAGCCAGTTTTTTGTGTTGCTGTAAACTAAAGAAGGGTGTGTGTGTGTGTGTGTGTGTGTGTGTGTGTGTGTGTGTGTGTGAAAGAGAGAGAGAGAGAGAGAGAGAGAGAGAGAGAGAGAGAGAGAGAGAGGAGACTGACCTGCCCATTGTTGTTGGATGCTCCCTTGTTGTTGGTTAGTTTTAATTTTCCAAAAGAGATTTCTTGCCGCATCCAGTGAGCCCCAGTGTTGGGGGAATCCGGATGCATATAGACCCGGTTTCCTTGATTAAAAAAATAATAGCTTGTTTACATATGCTCTGGGCACTGCCCAGTCCCAACTCCTTAGCACATGAAACACACACACACACACACACACACACACACACACACACACACACACACACACCACGCACACCCCTTACTACAAAGTGAAGCCCATTAGCTGTTTCTTTGGGGGGGGCATACTTTCTTCTATTAACTGGGGATTATTAAAATAGGTTTACTGTCCAGTCCCAACTCTGTACCACATAACACACACACACACACACACACACACACACACACACACACACACACACCCCTTCACTGTGAGGACCATTAGCTGGGCTTTTTTTTAAAGCCGCGATTTCTTCCCATTAAGTGGGAATGATTAAAATAGCTTTTGCATAATCCTCCCCTTTCTTGCTGTTCAGTCTGTCCCCCTGTCCCTCTCTTCTTTAGGAAGTCATTGGCCGATCGTTTTAAAAGTCGCTCGAGCCAGTCCACAAAGGCTTTAATTAATCATTCTCACCTAAATAAGTGTCAAGAAAACGTGTTAATTGGAAGGACTTGCCTTGCACATTGGTGTCCGCTTTGCCACAAGGAACCCATTTGCCTCCTTGAAACCTCCAGTGATTGGGATCCGCCAAAATCACATCCACAAAAATATTGTAATGAGCGGTGGGATCGAGACCAGAAATGTTAAAACTCAAAAAGGGAAACATGCGCCTGTTTAAATTAAGAAGGGAGAGAAAACAAAGAAAAAAAAGAAAATAAATGTTAGAGATAAAATGTAAGAAGCGGGGCGCCAGATAGCCCAGCAAAACTTGTCCTCTCAGTGTGTCTGAACGAATATTTGCTGATCTAGAAAAGGGTTAGTAGGAGACAGGAAGACGCAGGGCCGAAGTCGGGGAGAGAGCCGCGAATGCTCTGCAGGTATCAGTGCTGGGGTGAAGAGCGGGGTTGGCGACCTGCTTCTCCACCTGTCGGCACAGGCCAGCCTTGACGAGTTGCTCTAACGCCTGGCAGCGGCCGCGGCTCCTGTCTTGCTCCAGCCACTGACTGGCTCTCCGACCGCACTGGTACAGCAGGCTCCCCGCCACCAACATCACCACGGTGGTTATTATCCCTGCCACTTTCCCCTTTTCCAAAACCAGCCAACTCCAGGGCGCACCCGAGCGCCTTTCCACTCCGTTCCCCGACCCCACATCGTCGCTGCCCGGCGGTCACAACTTGGGTGCTCCCGCCCAGGGTCACGCCTGGAACAGCGGCCGCCAAGAAAGTAGCATTACCTTCCCTGTTTAGTGATGATCATCTCCGTTTGATGCCGATGAAATTTCAGCCAAAGTGGCCTGTTGCACAGGTATACTTGCGCCTTGCCCGGCACCAACCCGGGCTGGGTGGAGGAGAACTGGTAGAACGGAGCTCCTTGGTAGGAGTGGCCGTACTGCTGTGGGTAGGGGTAGCCGGCCGTGGGGTAGCCTTGCGGCGAGGAGTTGGACAGCAGGCTGTTGTAAGCTCCGTTGGTGATAACCGGGTGGTGGGCCATGTAGCGACTGGGGCTGCCGATGGAGAAGGCGGGATGCGCCGGTCCGTGCTGGCCGGGGTACGGGAACATGGCACTGGGAGCAGTGGCCGCAGACTGTGGCTGGCTGGACTGAGAGAGGAGGTAACGATCTGCAGCAGAGCCATCGAAACTGTGACGAAGCTCAGAGACCCCGTCCAAGACAGGAGAGAGTTTACTTCTCTGGACGTCCCCTGGTGAGTCCTTGGAGTCAGGAAAATTGTCTGTATCTGACTGATTCGTCATCCCCCTGGTAATTTTTTTCAAAGGTGAACTTCTCTCCAGGTTGTCAGTGGTCGAGATAATGGGATGATCGTGCAAGACAAGCTCAGATCCGCCCGAATGTGGGTAGCTGCTGCTCACATTGAGAAATTTCTTGGAGAGCATGATAGAAGGAGAGAGGCAGTGCTCCAGCTGCATAGCTCTAGAACCTGAATGCTCGCCCTCCCGTCCCTGGTTTTTAAAGTCCTGTTTATCATAAACTAGGAATCCACAGACCCCTCACTAGACAGAAAGCACTTCAACCAGCAAATGCTTCTCAAAGGTTTGATTTACTTTTTTTTTTCCCTGGGAGAAGAGATTGGCCAATTGACACTATGCAGCAATCAGAAAAGGCTCACTTTTGATCTCGCTGCTTATGCAGCCGATGAAACGGCTCCTGCCATTGGTTAGCTGCTGACAGTAATTTAATTAGATAGACATTAATTAGGATAATCACCTGGCTCCTGGTCGCGACGATCATGGCAAATTGAAGGGGATGATTTTATTGTTGGCTTGGGGGGTGGGGGGAAGTGTGTTGGTTTACGTGAGCTCTGTTATGTCACCTTTAAGCTTTGTGACCACTGCTTTAGGAAGATTCAAAGATGTGCAATTTACTAAACATTTCCTAACCCCCCCTCCTCTCTTTAGAGAGGAGGGGCGGAGGAGGGAATTCGATGATGTTAGGAGACTTTTCGAATCTGAATGAGCCAAATATTCAGTTGAATGTAACGATTTCAAGTGCAAAGTATACAAAGCGCGAGCCGGTGGCCTCTTCTCGCCCTGTAAAACTTCCAGAGTCTGTCTTTTCCAGTTAATACACAGAAGCACACACACCTGAGCCTGTGCTTTGTGAGTAGGTACTGCGTGTCCTTGACGCCCCCTCCCCCACCTTTAAACTACACGACTAAATAAATAAATAAACAAACCGCCGCCGCTGAAAGCCTCAGCGTTATGCTGGAGAGAGGAGAGTGGAGGCGAAGCAGCTCACCCACCCATCAACCCACCTCGGAAAGGTTCGGTTTCCGGCTGGGGTACAGAAACAGTGACAATCTATGATCTCCTTTTTAAGTTTTGAAATAATCATAAGCCGTCGCGCTGAAGTGCTTTATAATGTATTTGCAGTCATGTTTACTGGGTCGTTACTAAATATTTTATCAGCCAACTTGGTTGCAGATCATCTGAAGAGCAGCTAGCTGGGGGCGGGCGCCATGTATCCTTTGAGTCCCACCGCACTTCCTCCTTTCGGAGGCACTGGCTTGGTGACAGGTTCATAAGCTTCGCCAGGAAAAAGAGAGGGCTGAATCCCCAGTGCAAATGGGTTCGCTAGAAGCGTTGATCTGGGGAGACAGAGTGGAAGTGGTGTCAATGCAGTGATCTTACTGAACTCTGTGTGTGTGTGTGTGTGTGTGTGTGTGTGTGTGTGTGTGTGTGTAATGTTTACATAATCCAGAGGGAGAGAAAAAGAATCCATGCCAGTAAATTTGAAAAGATTAGAGAAAAGAACCGGTTTAAAGAGATTTTGGCACAAATAACACGAGGCCCCAACCAACTCGGGGGTGTAGGGGAAAAAGATCTCCTAGTACCTGCTCCATAGGAGGCCAGCCGCGGGCCTCAAGCCCAGAGCACCTGAGATCTACAACCCCAGAGCTGCTGCGTGTGCCTAGCATAGCCAACCTGCTCTGTAGCTTTCCTCCCTGAAGGCAATAGGCGCAGGAATTCGGAGCCAACCCTAGGCTTCGCTCAGCTCGGGCCAGCAAGGTGGTCAAGAGGCAGCGGTCTCCAGGAGACTAAGAGAGGGCCAGGCGACGATGCCAGGCTCGGACCCCAGAGGCTCACACTCCACCCGTGCCATACACAGGTGGGGCCTCTGCCTTCAGTCCAGCCTCCCGAATACCCCCGGCCAGAGCAGCAGAGTTCAGCGGTGGGAAGGTGGGGTGGGACTGGGGTATGGTCGGAAAAGAGTTAACAGATTGGGAATGTGGTGGCGTTTAGTGTGCAGCGAGCGGCCAGAGCTGAGCCTGTGCGGCACCACTTCTCTGAAGCTGTCACTGTGGCTGCAAGAGGGTACCAGCTTCGGCCTCCGAAGGGCGCGGGGGCAAGGCCCAGCATTGGTGGCCATAGGCCGGACAGGTTGATGATCAGATGTCTCAGAATTCAGCAGAAGCAATTTTCTGGGAGAAAAATAATGCCGGACCCGGTTTCCCTTTGAAAGCAAACCTCAGCTCCTGGCCAGGAAGCTTCATAAACAGGCAGGGTTTTAGCTGTTGGGCATTGGAACACCGGGTTGGTGGTGGTGAGGAATAGCTGTGATGGTATCTGATGTTTTCCTGCCTTAATCTTTGCTGCTACTTTTGCCCCATTTAAGCTGTTTGTGCGTTCTTTGCATCTTTAGCTTCTGTCACCAAGTGCCTCTCCTCTCTCTCCTGATTCTCACCTCATCTTGCCCCCGGAGCATGACACAGAGCCGGACGTACTTGCTTTTGGAAGCTTTTTGCCATCCTGGACACCTCCAAAAAATACTGGCTCTCAAAAACATAAGGAATGCCAAAGAGACCATCCAAGAGTGAAGAGGGTAGAAAAGGTATTCGCATTCCCTGGTTTTTAAGGAACTGAATTTGGAGGTGAACAGGCACTGTGACCCACTTTCAATAATCAGCCCAAAATTCAGTGGTTCCTCACATATAGGCTTTGCTCTGAAATCTGTGTACAAGGAAAACGAGGGCTCTCAACAGAAGTCTAGGGTGGGACTTGTACTGTACGTATGAGCTTCCCTAACACCGGTCCAGGCAAATCAGTTTCAATAGTGTGGAGTTACATCTCTACACTAATAACAAGGGGGGTTGTTACTAGATGAGCTTTAGCTCCTCACTACCTGTGTGTATGTGTGTGTGTGTGGGGGGGGTATCTAGCTTATGTTAAACAAGTTGTTTCAGTGCCTAACTCTACCTAGGGTATCAGGCTGCTGGTAAAATGGTTACATATTACTAGACAAAGGTATTCGCTGATTTTGATCAACTTAAAAATATAAAAAAAGAAAAGATGACTTTTGGTAAGAGGGATTGTGCCAAGGTTCTGAAACGGATACTGTTTCCAACAGGAAGCAGGCAGGAGGAAGTGGTACAGGGCTATTCCAAATCAAAGTCCCCAAGATCAAAGAGCAAGACAGGGCAGTGTGAGCCTTCCTAGTCACAGCACTTAACTTAGGGTGTTTTCAGGAAACTAAGTGAAAATCAGGGAAACTCAACCTGAATGCTGAGTCCAGCCCTAGAAATATTGAAGCTTTTTTTTTTTGAGGGCACACTATTTAAAACACACAAACACACACAACTAGTTCTCCAATGATATGTGAAAATTGTCATTGAAATTAATTATAAAGAGTGAAAACCCTGTATCTAAAAACACAAAACAAAAAACATGCCCATAAGTGTGAATTAGTCAAATGGGAAAATTCTACCCTCCATTTATTTTTATTTTAAATGATTAGATGCAATCCCAATAACATAATGTTGCAGTAAACAATATACTATCACTACATCCAAAAGAAAAAACTATAGGACAAGCAGAAAGTAACCAGTACTTATCATTCCACCAGGAAGGTAGATAGGTAGGAAAGAAGGAAGGAAGGAAGGTAGGTAGGTAGGTACTGGAAAATTTAAGACACTCCTATCTTCAGATTCTGATCATTTCAACAGATGGTAAGTGCACAGACAGAACTGCTAAATTAGGACAGTATTTGGATATACCACGCATGGCATTCATGACACCCCAGGTAGGTGAAGTCTAGTCACCCAACAGAACCCTCCTTTCACAAAGACTTAGAAACACTTGCACCATATTTTCACAAGGATACAACGTAGAATTAAATCTTTGTCTCCATACTGTTAGCTACTACTTGGGGTATTCAGGAAATTGTTTTTTAGTAAGTATTAACAAAGGAGGTATGACTATTTCTTTAGGTGAGAAGCTAGGAGAACTGCCAATAATCAATACTATTTATATCAAACACTGAGTACTTTGAAGTTAATTCAGGAAAGAAAACAAAACTATTATTTATAAACTCATAATATTCAGTTCACACTAGGATTTTCTTTAAACTTTCTACGATGGGTTACATGAAAATCTCATGGTGTTTCCAGCAGCCAATTTCTAGAGTTTCAAAAGTGTTCATAGAATATACTCTTCAAATTGTGATAGTTTAAAATAAAATTGCCCACCTTTTAAATGTACTTTTCTGAAATCCTGAAAGTGTAATATGTTATGAATATACAATGTTGGCTTGAAAGAAAGGTTTTAAAAAAAAAACTCAGTATTTTATCTGGGTTACTCACTAATGGCAATCATTAATTTGTGAAGTTCTGTTATCACAGTGATGTTTTATGTGTTAGAAGATTTCAAAACGCAAAGAGAAACATAGCTTTGTGTGAGATTCCCAAAGCACTGTCAAATGCTCTTCTGTCACTTCCACCCAGTGCCAAAAAGACCTCGGGAGACATGGATTGTAAATGTAGTTTATTTTGTAAGCAACAATCAAAATATATTTGTGCTACTGATTTTTTCAAATAGTAAATGGGATCTTAACAAAATTTGTCCACTTTGATGTATTCCTGAACAACTTTGGAGTCTGCAGAACCCTGACTAAATGAGCAGAAGCCGCTGCAGAACTGAGATGGAAGGTGGCTCAGGTGACTGGCAGGCCACCACATGCCCTGCAGAGCGCCCGTGACTGTGAGCACTAGAACAATGAAGGAAAATACATTGAGAGTGTCACTGGCAGCTCTCCACATTGCTTTATTTAAACACAACAGTATCCAACATGGCTGCCAAACACTGGACAATATTTGAAGTCATAAGCACATCCACATGTTCTTCCAAATGACGTTTGGGATCCTAAAAGAAAAAAAAAAGTAAAAGAAGAAAAAGATAGCTGTATTACCAGTAAACCTTTTTTCAAGAGCAGATTAAATTAGTAGTGATGCCTAAATTTACACATATTTTATCATTCAGCTTTTCCAATACATTGTTACGTTCTTGAGGTTTCTAAATTTGTTAAAAAGAAACTAAAAAATTACCCAACAAAAGACTGATTTGTACAATCAATGTTAGTTACAGATATGTACCAGATTTTCATAAAGGGTAACAGTTTGTAAAACTCACAATCACCTGATTTTAAAAAGGTCCATTTATGCATGTGTATGTGCCCGAGTAGTATGTGCACTCTGTCATTAACGTATTTTAATGTCTGATGATGCTTAAACAAAGCATCATGAATTCTGTAAAATCTTAGTATTTTCAGAAAATGATTCAGAAATATTCTTGGATCAAAAGGCACTGTAACTGAAAAATTTAAATTTAATATGGACTAATTCTAAAATGTTAAGAATGCTTCATCCAGTGATTCTGAGAAACTGTATCACTGGAACTTAAACAGGCATGACTATTAAACCTAATCAGATCCATTTTAAAATAAATTAGGTTAAAGATGAAACTTAAAATTGCACTATAATT